CCTCAGGAATGCAGCTGACACGATCTTTTTCGTCGGTTCCTGCACCCACCCCGGTTCGGGGTATGACCTTTCCAATAAATCAATCAGTGGCAGAAATAACTGAGGGACTATCGAAGCAGAGTGCTGATGGGGAGTGGGGGCTGCCCTCCCCACCCCCTGCACCAGAAAATCTTGATAAAGCTGTGCTGCCAGCATCTGTGCCACTGTCAGGCAGCAATAAATCCACTCAGTATGCTTTGGCAATGAGAGGTGCAGCAGCAGCTTGCGAAAACCGACCTTCAGAGGAGGAGTTGTTCCAAGAACTGCTAGTGAAATTCGAGAACTTAAAAATTAAGGATTCGGAGGAGCTTCCTCTCTCGTCTGCCCCACCGAAGCCAACTCCTTCATTATCCATCGCTACAACGCTGTCAGCACCAAGGAGGGACAGGTGCTCCGACGTCATACGTGATGCCATCATAGAAGGACATTGGCATGCTACATCCTTGGCCTGCCCTATTATCATCGACCCTGTGCAAGGCAGCGGGTTGTGGCAGCCACATGATTGCAAGCTTTTACAAGCTCGAAAAACGGTTACAGACTATGGTTTACAATCCCAGGCGGCTCGACAGATAATTCAATGGATTTTCCAGGCAGAACTAATGTGTCCACTTGACTGTCAAAACTTGGCGCGCTTATTGTTAACTCCTTCCCAATTGTTATTGTTTGAAAGGGAATGGTTGCAGTTACCACAGGGGGAAGCGGGTCGACTGCGTCAACCGGGGGACCCTCTGTATGGGATTACTGCAGAGATGTTAAAGGGAACAGGTCCTTATCTCAATACCCAGATTCAGTTGCAGTTCCTGTGATTATTCACCAAACAGCTGCACAGCTCACACTGAGGGCTCTTCTTAGTCTCCCAGGGGAAAAGAAAGCACCTCCGTTCGCATCAGTAGAACAGGCCCCTGGGGAACCATATGCTAAATTTATCGATCGGTTGTGGGCAGCAATTCCTGATCATCCTGATCTAACAGCGGAGTCTAAAAGCAGTGTGTTTAAAATGCTTGCATTTGACAATGCAAACCCAAAAACTCAAAACATCTTAGTTACACTGCCGAGAACCACACCGGTAGAGGACATGTTGGGAAGGGTACAGAGAGCTGATCAGTCCAGGCAACCAGATGTGGTGGCACAGGCTGTAAAGGACTGTCAGAGATTTGCTTTTACGGTACCCTCCATTAACAAACAGGCCCCGGCAAAGCGCTATGAATGGCTAGTGCTTCCGCAGGGGATGAAGAATTCCCCTACATTATGTCAATTATATGTGGCCTGGGCATTACAAGCAATTCGGACAGCGTGGTGTGACATAATTATTTACCATTATATGGATGACATTCGGGTCAGAATGCTTCCAGGATTCAGATTTAAAGTTTATTCAGGATACTTTGGAAGCAAAAGGGTTGAAGATAGCCCCAGAGAAGGTTCAACGGAAACAGCCATGGCTATACTTGGGATGGAACATATCAGACTCTACCATTCATCCACAGATAGTTGATATAACTATGGTATTACATAATTTGACAGATGTACAAATGTTCCTGGGTAATATTCAGTGGGGTCACTACATTGTACGGATTACTAATGACGACTTAGCTATATTACTACCTTTATTGCGGGGCAGGAGTGCAGAGCCGCAGATTACACTAACAAATGACCACCAGCAGGCTCTTTCACAAATAGTTTCTAAGGTTGCAGCTGGCACGGCTTCCAGACGTATAGCAGAAGTTGCACTTTCCTTACTGGTAAGCAATCGTGTCTCATCCATTTGTCAGGCTATTCGGGTAATAAAAAGAGAGCATGATCTGACCATACTGGTGTCTGTCATGTTTTCAGCTGTTCTTCCTGCAACATACAACAGACTAGATTTTCCAAGTTGCCTTCCACATCCCCTGAGATAGCACCTGCAGATTTCCATGGACCTACTGACTACAATAAAAAAAACCTGCTGCAGTTAACGGGACTGTTTGTCCAAAGTAGCAGCATAGAATCATATAGCAGGATTGCTATAGTGTGCTGCTTTTTAACTTCTTTTCAGGCAATGCCAAGGTGTTCTGGCTCCAAGTCTGAAAGTTTATGGGATGCTCTTGTGAGTAAGCATTTTTCAGAGCGATCATACTATACACAAGCATACTGAACTCCATGCCTTTGGGGAGAAATTGCAAGATTGCAAGTTTGCATGCAGACCCCTGCCTCCTTTTATCAATCTCATTGTGTTACTGTTGACTTAGCCTGACCATCCACTATTAATTTCACCAGCAACAAATGCACAAGCACTAGTCAGGGACATCTAACTTATTTTGCCTTGCTTTCTCACTGAGGGTAGCCACTAAAAGTTTTATTCCAGAAGAATTCTTTTCCAGTGACTTCCAGACAAATTTCCATTTAAAAGGGATTTTGGTTCCGTTTTTTTTTTTTTTAGGTAGGTTGGTTGGTTGGTTTGCTTTGCTTTTTTTTTTTTTGTTTGTTTTGTTTTGTTTTCCTGAACATGAACAGGAAAACATACACTAGAATATAATAAACACTGAAAGTCAAGCTGGATTATTTTGGGCTGATGCATCTACAGTGATATTTTGCACTGAGAATTTAATTAACAATTATTTTGATGGTAAGTAAATCAGAATAAAATTCATCTCTGTTGGGTCTGTTGGGATGGAGTCACCTTCCCTTGCAGCAGACCACACAGTGCTGTGCTCTGCACTCGTAGGTGGAACAGCACTGAAATCACTCCAGTGTTGTGGAAGAAGGACATCGAGGTGCTCGAGCGAGTCCAGAGAGGGGCGACGAAGCTGATGAGGGGTTTGGAGAACAAGTCTTACGAGGAGTGGCTGAGGGAGCTGGGTTTGTTCAGCCTGGAGAAAAGGAGGCTCAGGGGCGACCTTATCACTCTTCATAAGTACATTAAAGGAGGCTGTAGCAAGGTGGGGGTTGGTCTATTCTCCCACGTGCCTGGTGACAAGACAAGGGGGAACAGGCTAAAGTTGCACCTGGGGTGTTTTAGGTTGGATATTAGGAAGAACTTCTTTACTGAGAGGGTTGTTAGGCATTGGAACGGGCTGCCCAGGGAAGTGGTGGAGTCACCATCCCTGGAGGTCTTTAAAAGACGTTTAGATGTTGAACTTAGTGATATGGTTTAGTGGAGGACTTGTTAGTGTTAGGTCAGAGGTTGAACTCGATGATCTTGAGGTCTCTTCCAACCTAGACAATTCTGTGATTCTGTGATTCTATGACCTCTGGGGTTCTGGAGCCGGGGCTATCGAGGATCAGAAGCCAGTTACACACCAACTGAAAAAGAAATATTAACAGCATATGAGGGGATTCAAGCCGCTTCAGAAGTTGTTGGTACAGAAGTACAACTCCTCTTGGCCCTACAGCTACCTGTGTTACATTGGATGTTCAAAGGGAAAATCCCCACTACACACCATGCAACCGACGCTACGTGGAGTAAATGGGTAGCGTTAATTACACAGCGGGCTCGAATGGGGAAACCCAACCGCCTGGGAATCCTGGAAGAGATTATGGACTGGCTGGAGGGCAGGGATTTTGGAGTACCGACAGAAGAGGTAACTCGTGCTGAAGAAGCACCACCATACAATGAGTTGCCAGAAGACAGAAAGCAGTATGTGTTGTTTACTGACGGATCCTGCCGTGTGGTAGGGAGCCATTGGAAGTGGAAAGCTGCTGTGTGGAGTCCCACACGACAAGTTGTGGAGGCCATGGAAGGGGAAGGTGAGTCAAGTCAGTATGCAGAAGTGAAAGCTATACAACTGGCCCTAGAGATTGCTGAAAGAGAAAAATGGTTGGTACTGTATCTCTACACTGACTCATGGATGGTGGCAAATGCTCTGTGGGGGTGGCTGCAGCAATGGAAAGAGAGCAACTGGCAGCACAGAGGTAAACCTGTCTGGGCTGCTACCCTGTGTCAAGATATTGCTGCCTGGGTAGAAAACCTGGCTGTAAAGGTACGTCATGTAGATGCCCATATGCCTAAGAATCGTGCTACCGAAGAACATCAGAACAATGAAGAAGTAGATCGAGCTTCGAAAATTGAAGTGGCTCAGGTGGACCTGGACTGGGGACGTAAGGGTGAGCTGTTTGTAGCTCGATGGGCCCATGAAACATCAGGACATCTACGAAGGGATGCCACATACAGATGGGCTCGTGATCGAGGGGTGGACCTGACCATTGAGGCCATTACACAGGTTACCCATCAGTGTGAGACCTGTGCTGCAATCAAACGAGCCATGAGGGTAAAGACTCCCTGGAATAGGGGGAGATGGCTTGGATTTCGAAATGATGAGGCCTGGCAAATTGACTATATTGGACCATTCCCACAAACCCACCAAGGCAAACGTTACATACTCACCATGGTAGAAGCAACTACTGGGTGGCTGGAAACATATCCAGTAAAGCATGCCATGGCCCGAAACACTATCTTGGGCCTGGAAAGACAGGTGCTGTGGCGACATGGTACACCAGAGAGAATTGAGTCCGACAATGGTAGTCATTTCCGAAACAATTTGGTCACCTCCTGGGCCAAGAGCCATGGCATTGAGTGGGTGTATTACATCCCTTATCACCCACAAGCCTCTGGGAAGGTTGAGAGGTACAATGGACTGTTAAAAACTATTCTGCGAGCATTGGGTGCTGGGACGTGGAAACATTGGGATATAAATCTACCAGAGGCCACTTGTCTAGTTAACAACAGGGGGTCTGACAGCCGTCCTGGTCCTGCTGAAACAAAACCCCTACACACTGTGGGAGAAGCTAAAGTCCCTGTAGTGCATGTGGGAAAGTGGATGGGGAAGGTGTTGTGGGTTGCCTCTGCCAAAAGGCAAACCCACTCGTGGGATTGTCTTTGCCCAAGGACCGGTGTATACCTGGTGGGTAATGCAGAAGGATGGGGATATCAAGTGTGTGCCTCAAGGAGATTTGACACTGGGAGAAAATTATAACTGTCATCCAAGTTATGTGTTGTAGGAGGACACTGCAGAACCAACGACAGGTCAACTTTGCAAGGAACCAGGCAAGTGCAACAGTGACGTGAGGTAAGCTGGTGCTGGTGTCGAGAAAACCAACTTCGCCTGCCCTGAGTGACCACTTTGACAGATGAAGCTGAAACCATCAACAGTTTTTATGAACATTTTGGAAAAAGACCTATGGAATGAAAATAAGTACAGACATATAAATGCTTCAATGGACAGAGAACAAAGGTGATGAGAGCATCTATATACTAAACTGTGTGGTACTTGATTGTGACACAAATGTTATGAAATAAGGGGTGGAGGTTGTGTTGGGTCCGTCTGGGCTGGAGTCACCTTTCCCTGCAGCAGCCCACACAGTGCTGTGCTCTGCACTCGTAGCTGGAACAGCACTGATATCACTCCAGTGTTGTGTCTATTGCTGCATAGTGCTGGCACAGCACTGATATCACTCCAGTGTTGTGTCTATTGCTGCATAGTGCTGGCACAGCATCAGGACTCCTTCCAAGCCCCCAAGAGCCAGCAGGGGGTGGGCAAGTGATGGGGAGGGGACATCGCCAGGACAGCTGACCTAAACCAACCAAAGGGATATTCCATAACACCTGATGTCACACTCAGCAATAAAAAGGGGGGCTCTCGTGGGGGAGGAGGTTGTTCCTCCTGAACAACCACTACGCGTTTTGAGGCCCTGCTTCCCAGGACGTGGCCGAACACTGCTCGTTGATGGGAAGTAGAGAATAATTTTTTTTCCCTCTCTCTGTGCTTCCGCACGGACTTATTGTTTCTTTTGTTTCTTTTTCTCCCCATTCCCTTTCCCTTTAATTAAACCTTTCTCATCTCAAACCTTGAGTTCTCTGTGTTGTATTTTCTCCCCCTTCCTCTTTGAGGAGAGGGGGAGTGAGAGAGCGGTTGTGGTGGAGCTTGGCTGCCCACCTGAGTAAAACCACCACACCATCTCATCTTCCAAGATCTGAATTTGTTCTCTACTGCTAATGGCAGTTAAAAAATAGTAAAATATTATTTTAGCAAGTAAAGTAAGCTAATATAATTCTGAAAGAATGAGAGGAGTCAATTTGCTAATGGAACCAATGTGTTTTATATTTGTCACAAATGCATTTATATTGAATCACATATTTGACCATCATTATTCTCGTGCTTTCTCATTTATAAACAGCAGATAGTAATACTTGCTATTCTTTTGAAAGCTGTTTGAAATACATGATAAAAGGAGATGTACCAAGGATTAATAATTTTTCAAATTATTGGCCACATTTAGCCATGTTCTGCTAGAAGATATTCAGTTCTTAGCAAAAATAAATGTATTTATTCTCTGCATTTTTGTTTACATTTATTTTCTTCCCCTCAATTTCCTACATGTATATTTGACTTTTAAGGATTTTTCTCCTAATGTTCCTCTATTATTTTCTTTACCTTAATCATTTATCTGCTTGATGTCATTGATTTAAAAAGCAGAGAGATGCTGTCACCATGTAAATTAGTTGAATGTGAGATTTCATAACATGAGAGAATTATCAATCTTGTTTGTTTTCCCTTTTGCTGTCTCTTAGCCTGAGACATCTCATCTGAGGTCTGCTCATCTACTCTCCAGATACACTTTTAGCATGCTGTGATAATACTAACAAAGGAAGTTGTGGTTTAACCCATCTGGCAGCTAAGCACCACACAGCCGTTCACTCACCCTCCCCTCACAGCGGGATGGGGGAGAGAATCAAGAAAAAAAGTAAAAGCTTATGTGTTGAGATAAAGACATTTTATTAGGAAAGAAAAGAAATAAAATAATAACAATAATAATAATAACAATGTTGTCGTGGTTTAACCCGGCCGGCAGCTAAACACCACGCAGCCGTTCGCTCACCCTCCCCCCTCCCTCTCTGGGACGGGGGAGAGAAATGGAGAGTGAAGCCCGTGAGTTGAGATAAAGACAGTTTAATAAGACAAGAAAATAATAATAACAAAATAATAATAACAATAATAATAATAATGATACAATGGTGATAATACGAAAGTAATAGTATGTACAAACAAGTGATGCACAATGCAATTGCTCACCACTCGCTGACCGATGCCCAGCCTAACCCCGAGCAGTCCGGCCCCCTCCCCCCGGCTAGCCACCCCTATATATTGTTTAGCATGACGTCAGATGGTATGGAATACCCCTTTGGCTAGTTTGGGTCACCTGTCCTGGGTCTGTCCCCTCCCAGGTCTTACTGCACCCCCAGCCTGCCCGTTGGCAGGACAGAGCAAAAGGCTGAGATGTCCTTGGCTTAGTATAAGCACTGCTCTGCAACAATTAAAGCATCGGGGTGTTATCAGCACTCTTCTCATCCTAAGCCAAAACACAGCATTCCACCAGCTACTAGGAAGAAAATTAATTCTGTTCTAACTGAAACCAGGACAAATGTGTACAAAACAAGTGATGCACAATGCAATTGCTCACCACCCGCTGACCGATGCCCAGCCTATCCCTGAGCAGCAGCCCCCCCACCCCAGCCAGTCACCCCATATTAATTGTTCAGCATGATGTCAGATGTTTGGGTCAGTCTGTCCCCTCCCAGCTCCTTGTACACCCCCACCCTTCTTGCTGGCAGGACAGTATGAGAAGCTGAAAAGTCCTTGGCTTAGTGTAAGCACTGCTCTGCAACAATTAAAACATCAGCATGTTATCAGCATTATTCTCAACCCAAATCCAAAACACAGCACCATATCAGGTGCTAGGAAGAAAATTAACTCTATACTAGCTGAAACCGGGACAGGAATTTATCGTATCTCTGTGAATTTAAAATTCAGGCACACTGGAAAAAGGTCTACTATAAACACATTTTTTTTCTAGCCAGAATATGAGACTGAAAAGTTTTCTGTGTTGGGGTAATAGTGTATCCAGTACAATATAATGATATAGCTCTCTTTCTACTTGTGATACAATGCCTCTGGCTTAGTATAACCTCACTATACAGTATATTGAGTTTACTGAAATTCTGGAGGCTGATAATAATTAAGTGATAAGACATGACATGTAGTATTTTATTATGCAATCCCAGAATGCTTAGGTGAGTAGTTAGGCACACAGCTAATTGCTTTGAACCACCTGGAATAATTATTTTTATACATAACATGGATAGTGGTAGGGAATGATCTGGTTTGCTTGCAGATATGCAGTTATCACATCCTAGCCACCTTGGGAAAAACCGATATGCTTAGTAAATAGACTGATATTGACTGAAGTAATAATGATCAAGGATGAACATTGCTGCTGTTTTGATGATTGACAGGGATAAACACGTGACCCAAGGCATAGTAATAGGCCATTAGTCTCCAAGCAGAGCCCTGAAATGCAGTTGTGGGTGTTATTATAAACTGAGACTGACTGCAGGTATTTCAAGTTTAGATGATGGGCCAGAATAAGGCAGCATCCTTGAGTAAGCATAGGGTATGTCAAGGGAACACGGTGTGCATGAGCTCCATGATTTAGATGCATGCTAAACTTTTCATAGGGACTGTAATAATGTGTAAGTTGCCCCAAATAGCTTCTAATCTTCTTTTTTGAAATGCTTAATATATTTTCATTCAGTTGATTTAACCTGTCCTAAAAGGTTACATTTCCAGAAAATGGGATATACTTAATATGGACACTTTGTCCTCTTATGTCAGGTTTAATCAATTATTGCCTTGGTTTTCAAATTTGTTTGTTCACCTTTCCGAGCCTTAGCTCATACTGGGTTGAATCTGGGGTCTAATGAAAGTCACCATAATAACTGCATCTTGTCTTCATTGCAGTCTTAATGACATAATGGTCTATCCTTGTATATTACTACTTATAGATGTAGAGCTTAGGGATATGGTTTAGTGGGGACTGTTAGCGTTAGGTCAGAGGTTGGACTCGATGATCTTGAGGTCTCTTCCAACCTAGAAATTCTGTGATTCTGTGATTCTGTGATTATGCTGCATACATGTATATTGGATAATGACTACATAAATATTTCCCAATGATAGCAATTACTAGTTAAGTTTGAAAACTGCACTGAACATTGGGAGCAGTTATTCTCTCTATGCAAGACGCCAGACTTGGGTGTCCAGGTTAGGAAGGAAATCTGTCTGCTTCCTATATCGTTAGAAGAAGATGAGATGGTGTTCAGAGCAGGAGCCTAATCTGGGTGCTGTGAACAGCACTCTGCAAGAGTGCCCCTTTTCCTCCACTCATTGCAATGGGAACTGAGGAATCATAGAATCATAGAATGATTTAGGTTGGAAGGGATCTTAAAGATCATCTAATTCCACCACCCCCCTGTTGTGGGTATGGACACCTCCCACTAGACCAGGTTGCTCAAAGTCCTTGAATACTTCCAAGGATGTGGCATCCCCAACTTCTCTGGGTAATCTGTTCCATTGCCTCACCACCCCTTTAAGTACTGAAAGCTTGATAAGGCTATAAGGAATATGAACCTTTCAATTCAGGCCACTAGATTAAATGCCTAAAAATTAACTGTGGTAACTAAAGCTTATAATGGTAACATTTTATATTGTGTATGGAAAGTGACCAAGTTACCAATTTTGAATGAAGGCTAAAGTATTTCTGGGTGCTTAGCTGATGACAAGTCAAAAAGGCATTGGTTCATTGTTGGCATGTAAAGGTGGTATATGAAGCCCTGCTGAAGTGAATGAACACTTTGTCACTTGTTCAGTTGTTGAGTTTCATCTAAACTTAAATGTCCAAATAAAATGGTAGTTAAAGAAATGACTGGAGATGAAACTCTTGATTTTGCCTCTTGAAATATTCATTGATGGCCAAGATGACCAGAAGGAAAAATGATTGATGTATACTTTAAATGAAAGCAAGTTCATTTACTTTACCTTTTTTCCTCTGCCTCCATGTCATATTGGTAGATGCTAACCCATAACCTCATCCTATAATATTGATTCAGGTTTGTTCTCACTGAATGTCACCTGGTTTCCTAGCAACACACACATGCCACAACCATTTTGTAATGCAAACCATTCTATAAAAGGTGTGGTATATAAACTGAAAGTGAAACAGTGGTATATAAACTGAAATTTAATGAAATAGTAAAGTATATGAAATAGTAAAGTAAATGAAATGAAAAGGAAAAGGAAATGAAAAGAAATGAAATAGTAAAGTAAAAGCTTGTGGGTTGAGATAAAGACAGTTTAATAGGACAGAAAAGGAAGACAAATAATAATAATAATAATGATAATGATAACAGTAATGTGAGAAACAATCTGTAGCCAATAACACAGGTTCAGGCAAGGATCTCAGTGAGGTAGCATTTTTATTCGTGATTGTAATGGCAGGCATCCTGCAAGCAGGAGTGCACAGCAAAAGTATATCATAAGCTTATATTCCCTATTTCCTGACACTT